GAGAATTTGAGCAATGGTAGGGAAGAAGCTACCGTCAGTTCTCTATATCTTTCCTCTTTTTTCCGTGTCTCCTTTTATAGCCTTAGGTCATTCAGGTGGTATATTATTAGGCCTCCAGTCTAAGAACGAGTCAGGGTCCTATTTCCCTGGATCATGTTGACCTAATCCCTACATCTCTGGAGATGCTGCCAAGTGTACCTTTCCTGTTGAATGATCCAAAAGTGGTAAACTATAAAGGCAATTGTACTATTCCAGCTGTCTTTTACTCTTATCCTCAAACTGGGCCTTACCTTTGTGAGTAAGACATTACTAATTTTCCATCCTCGATTCCAAAATCCCTTCGACATCCCAATGTCACATAGAAAGTCTTACCATAACTCTTCATTACTCCGGCCAAAGGCTATCACTCGCGACCCCTCGAGTCTTTCAATTGGTAATTTGGATTACCTTAGATCAAGATTCAAGGCCCTAGATCGAGATTCGTGGCTAGGTCGGATCGAGGTTCAAGGCTCATCGATCGACAGTTTGTTACTAGATCAGATTGAGGTTTAAGGCCCGTCGATCGACAGAAGTCGGATCGAGGTTCAAGGCCCATCGATCGATAGCTTATGGCTACGTTGGCTCGAGGTTTAAGGCCCATCGATCGACAGCTTGTGGCTAGGTCGGCTAAAGGTTCAAGGCCCGTCGATCGACAGTTTTGTGGCTAGGTCAGATCAAGGTTCAAGGCCCATCGATCGACAATTTGTGGCTAGGTCGGATCAAGGTTCAAGGCCCATCGATCGACAATTTGTGGCTAGGTCGGATCAAGGTTCAAGGCCCATCGATCGACAGTTTGTGGCTAGGTCGGCTCAAGGTTCAAGGCCCGTCAATCGACAGTTTTGTGGCTAGGTCAGATCGAGTTTCAAGGCCCATCGATCGACAGTTTATGGCTAGGTCGGATCGAGGGTCAAGGCCCATCGATCGACGATTTGTGGCTAGGTCGGCTCGAGGTTCAAGGCCCGTCGATCGACAGTTTTGTGGCTAGGTCGGATCGAGGTTCAAGGCCCGTTGATCGACAGTTTTGTGGCTAGGTCGGATCAAGGTTCAAGGCCCGTTGATCGATAGTTTTGTGGCTAGGTCGGATCGAGGTTCAAGGCCTATCGATCAACAATTTTGTGGCTAGGTCGGATCGAGGTTCAAGGTCCGTCGATCAACAGTTTTGTGGCTAGGTCGGATCAAGGTTTAAGGCCCGTCAATCAACAGTTTTATGGCTAGGTCGGATCGAGGTTCAAGGCCCATTGATTGACAGTTTGTGGCTAGGTTGGCTCGAGGTTCAAGGCCCATCGCCCGATTGTTGAGTTGGACCAAGGTTCGAGGAACATTGGTCGTTTATTACTTGCTTCGCGGACGTGGCTTTTGTCCAAGTGTTGACCGTTTGTGTATTATAATGGGGTCAACTTGACCTAGCCCTTGGTAACGTGGTTGAACCACATCCACATTAGCTTATCATTTAAAGAATTAGGTAATTAAATCTACTCCACAACAACAACTATAATAATTTTTTAATCAAAAAATATTTTATGTTAATGAACACCATTTTTAAAAAAATTCAATTAATTCCTCATATTTACATTTTAACCAATCTTACTTTTTAAAAAACTCTAGCCATGCAACATGAGTAATTAAGATTAACCTGTCTTTCTTTTTAATTACCAATCGGATCAAATTCTTAGATTTAAAATTGGAATTAGAAAAGAAATTGAGTTGGAATTAAATATAATTATATTTGTGTGTTTGAAATAAACTTGAATTTAAATGAGATGAATTACTTCTTATGGGCCGATGTAAAAAGAAATTGAAAAGGAAATAAATTTTGTGCTTATAGATGTGTAAAAAGAGGTTTGCAGAGAGAGGTAAGATTAGTTAGTTAAAAAGTACTGTATAATCTTTTCACTTACTATTTTTCAAATCCAAAAAATAAAAAAATTCACCATTTCTCTGCTTATGATTTTTTTATTTATTTTTTTTAACAATGAGTAAATTACACTAACCTCCTAGTATGAAGTTTAATGTGTGCGCTTATTTTATTCTTTTCAAATTCTATAAAATGACAATTTTATTCTTCCTTTTTTAGGTAAATTACACCACTAGGCTATAGTAGAAAGAGGGTTGAAACTTGAAACCTGAAACTATGGTGGCTCACATGAATGTGGATTATATAAGCTACTGTATTAGTTATAATCACTACTATTTTTAAAGTAAACACATACTTTTAAGATTAGAAAGATTCAATCAATTTGATCATTTGCCATGGAATTGGCGGGTCTGTGGGCCATATTGTGACCTGGTGTCGCAGGGTCTATATTCGGTGCCGGGTGGTGGTTCTAGGTCGATGTCGTCGTTTGCAGTTCCGTTAAGGTCTCCTTCCTCCGCTACCTCCCTGGTAATTGGTACTAACCTCTCTCTGTCTCTCTCTCTCTCTCTCTCTATATATATATATATATTATGGTTGACATACAATTATTAGGGTTTTAATTGAATTAGGGTCCTTCTGTTCTTCCTAGGTATATTTGTATCTCTGGCTCCGTTGATGTTCAACTGTGTCAGAACAGAGGACATTGACTATCCCCCTTGTGAAGAAGGGGAGTGGAGGTTAGAATTCTCAATTGCTCCTATTGTTTGTATAATTATACATATATATACACATATGTAGTGTGCATATAATATGTGGTTTTGGGGATGATGATGATGCTCATTACTTTTTTTTTTTTTTTTTTTTTGAAGGTAATTGAAATTAAATGGCTTTTGATGAACTCTTTTAATATTATAGGGTTTGATTGTGGGTGGACCATAAATTTAGTGAGAAGATGACATAATGTCATATATCTTGTTGTTAGATGGACTTTTATTTTATTTATATTTTTGGTGGTGTCAGACTCTTAGAGCATTCCATAATTCATCAACAAGCCTGTCACATGAAATGCACCAAAACCAAAGCAAGCCACCCCTGAAAGAAATAAATGAATTCCATGCAATCCTTTGTCCCACATACACTGGACAATTACCGAGAAATTCTCTGAAGTGAGAGGATTCAAACTCTCCACCTCCGGTGCGAACCTGGTCTTTAGGCTATCCCCTTGGGTTCTTGTAGGGGTTTTATGCTTCATTCATATGTTGCAAAAAGTAAAGTTACATCTTCCGTTCCATGCGGCACATTCCCATTAAAGAAATCACACTAGATAAAGGCCTTAATATGACTGAAAATAAATGCGTTAAAAGATAATGTTAATTAGTTAAGTTATATCTTCTCCTCAGTAGTTTTCTGCTTCTTCTTCTTCTTTTCACACACTGTCATAATCTTTAGCGTTGCTGGCAAATGTGAGAAATTTTTGGTTTCGTTGTTAGAAGATAAAAATTAATTTCAAGTACCAAATCAACAAGGATCCCTTAAATTCCATTTTAGTAATTTTGTATTGACATCAATATCAGGTTACAGGTCTCTGATTTAACGATTTAACTGAAGCAACTAAATACTAAAAACAACCATGCATGTGTTTGGGCGGTTGGAATGGGGGGCATGCAAAAGTTGTAAATGCGAGGAGGCTCTTTGCAAGTGTACCGTGGCTTGCAGGCTGTCCTTTACGTGATTAATCCAAGTCTAGTTTAAAGTCAAACAGAAGTAAAATACTAATTAGAAGTGTCTTATTACATGTCTTCTTGATTAAACTGAATTGTGAATGATTATAGCCTTAGCATCATCTATGTGCTTGTCGGGATCAACAGAAGTAATCCTCATTATTTTTTCAAATTTCTGAAATTGCAGGTTGAAGCTCTGGCTTTTCCTCGCTTGTGTTGTATCTTTTGTCTCTCTAGCGGCTTCAGTAGGTTTATTAATTCAAAGTTCAATTGTGAAAACTGGCCCTTCAGCGTCAACAAGAACTGTAGGTGTTTTGCAGTGTGTGTTCGTGTTTATCAGGTAATTGCCTTTTTTAAGCTTTAATATTGTTTCCTGTGTTCCGTTTTTCACTTAACATTATTGAATGTTTATGCACTTGGTCTAAATGGTCCTCTCTCTATCTCTCTCTCTCACACACACACGTATGTGTAACCACACTGCATATTCGTAAATGTTCTCACGTCATTCATGACTGTATGATGTATATTCTTGAGTACAACCAGAAAGGGGTGGACAAAAAAATGTCCTCCTGTGTCATTCTCTCCAATAACAAAAATATTGTTCTTTACAGTGGACTGATTTATTGGACTTCTCATTCTGAGTAAGCCGGGGCAAATCAAAATGTCTTACAATTTGGAGCTGAAACTATCACTTCAGGGATTCTTTCATGTATGTATGATCTTAGTCATTTATGGTCACACAGTTCATTGTATGGATTTGTGAAGCAATCAATACAAGATTACAACAAAAAAAACAGTACATAAATTTCTCTCTTTCAGGATAAGTATGCATATTGGTGTCTTACTGCAATCCACAAGACCAATTATTAGCCCACAATCAACCTTCTATATGTTGGGTTCTTTAGATCGACTAAACGTATTGCTTGTGTGTAGTTGAATGGTTCACTAACTAGGGCTTCATTTCTTATATATATGGTCTAATTCTGATCCATGGTTGATTTTGGAGTTTCTCAGTGCCTCAAGCTCCTCTTTTACCTCTTTCATGGTAGGCCTTTTGCGTCCCTTCAATCATAAGCATTTTTTTGCTACCTCAGCTACTCCTTTTAGCTGCTCAGCATGTCCCTCTTTCTTCACTTGATCCTCCAGGATTTGAAGCGACCTTCTTTGAGCAAAGAAACGAAATACATAGCTAGACCCCTGTCCCCTTCAGGTCTATCCAGAGAGAACACATTCTTTCCAGTTAGTAGCTCTACAAGGACAACTCCAAAGCTATAGACATCGCTTTTCTTGGTTAATAAGCCTGAATAGAAGTACTCGGGATCTAAGTAACCAAATGTCCCTTGCACCAATGTGGGCAGCTGAGTTTGATCTAAAGGAACCAATCTTTAAACTCCAAAGTCGGATACTTTTGCAGTGCAATGATCATCCAATAGAATGTTGGCAGACTTGACATCTCTATGAATTATACTTATTGGATAAGAATGCATATGCGCAAGTGCTCCAGCAGTTTCTGCTGCTATTCTCAAGCGCAGTTCCCATGGCATTGAGGATACATGACCTTCATCATGTATATGGTGGAAGAGGGTATTGTTGGTGATAAATTCATATACTAGTAGGGGAACTGGTGTTTCTAGGCAACAACCCAAGTGGTTCACCACATTTGGATGCTTGATTTGGGAGAGAATAACTACCTCATTAACGAATTGCTCAATTTGGCCTCGATCTACCACCTTGGACTTTTTGATGGCGACGACCATATCATCTTTTAGAGTTCCTGCATAAACTGTGCCATAACCTCCTTGGCCAATAACATTGCCATCACCGAAGTTGTTGCTGCTCTCTTGAACTCCTCTTCCGTAAAAATCTTGGCTCCTTGAGCAGAACCTTTCCTTTTGCAGTTGGAAAGCAGTTGTTGTAACATTATACCACCGTTCTGCTTAAAAAAAGTTTCTCTGCACTTCATGATCTTCTTTTTGCGGACTCGCCAATATAAGACACAGATGATAACAAACATAAACACAAGGCTCATTCTCATACCTATATTTAAGTGAGGCGAAATATTTATCTCAAGTAGTTTTGCTTATAATTGACAAATATTATTGATTGGAGAAGATAGAAAAAATGAAGCATGTGTTTGGTTCTTAAAATTGCATGTTTTACTTTTAACAAATTAAGGCACTGTATCAAGTGCATTCAAGTTTATAACTAAATGGTTCGCGTAGTGTTACCAAGATGTTTCTTTATTATTTTAGAGACTACTTTCTATGAGGTTCACAAAACAATTTTATCTTTACTTACCCACAGTGGCCTTGGTTTTCAAGCAACCTTGTCCACCCTTTCTGCAATCTCCATGGTAACCCTTAGGAGAAAGACAAACGTATCTCCCAGCAGTGTTCCTACAGATGTGTGTGCAATCATTGCGGCCTTGATTGTCGTCACACTCATTGACATCTGAAACCAATTAACTAAAAATATTATATATATATATATATATATATATATATATATATATTGTGCAAAAACTCCATATCCCAGAAGAACGATATACAAAATAAGTACCTTTGCAACCGTTTGGGAGGTATGCGTTCCCCTTGTAACCCTTAGAGCATCTGCAGTGATATCCTTCCCCACCATCCCAGTCATAGCACTCGCTATTCTCCTGACATAGATAACCTGTCTTGTTCTTTTTAGCTTCTTCACATCTTGTCTCACCGACTGCCCAATCTAGCACCATAGGGTATGGATTGAGGTCGGTTAAGTTGCTACAAAGATCTAGCGACGAGAACCCATAACACTCTTGTTCGACCACAAAGGCGTGGCTGCACAAGCTGTAGTTGAATACATTCACATAGCCAAAATAGTTCTCTACCACTATCTTGAAGTCCCGTAATCCTTTGGGAATGAAGGTCTAGCAACAGCCCATGCTGAGCACAATCCATTGATTAATTTATACGTCATGTTATAAAAAGACTTGCAACTGGCGGCTGTGTAAGTTTTCCCAGAAAGACACAGATGGCTCCTGTAGTATTATAGCCTACGGCAATGAACTTGTTTCTTGTACTTCAGAGGGGAAAACTAGTTGAAAGTTGTTGATCCTTGGTGGTGTAATTAGCCTGCAAGCCGCGGCAAACAGTGGCAATCGGGGACAAAATTCGCAGTTGACCCTCGAGTGCTATGTTCAGGACGAATAAATTACCATTCAGATACGTTTTGGAGTAGGTACATGTGATCAGAAATGACTCGTTTAGGTAGCAGCCTTGTGTCACATTCTGATTCCTAACGACGCCATGAGCGTAGAAGACACGCATGCTGGTTGGCTAAGAACATTCATTGACTGGGAATGGTTCCAGGGAAGAGGCGTGCAGGACCACAAGATAGTACCTCTTCAGAGTTCAGGCAGGTCAACTCGGTTCAGTTTGAGGTGCTTGTCGCTAGTCGTGGACTTGACTATGAAGAAGGGAGTTGGCCATCCCTACACAAACTGGTAGGGAGCTGGAGCCGTTCCCCTGACGAGACCAAGGCAGGTTGAAACCAGTCAGCTTGTATCCTTAGGAAGGCAGGTCATGGTAGCTGACTAGGGCACTTGCGCGAGCTGAAACAACGCCTTGGTGCCACACGAGCCGTGCCGCTGCACCAAATCTCTAGGCCCGTGACAAATGGTATCAGAGTAGGACTTGGGGAAAAGCACAAAGGTGTGCCCCCTTGTCGATCCGAGGGTCTTGAGAATGAAGTGGGTGCACTAAAGCATCGGTGGGCAATCAATGCTGTTGGAGGAGAGCCTCCATCTCCCCAGGAAGACGCGTCCTTTGAAGCTAGAGGGCCGAGCGCATCGGATTGCCGGAAGGCCGCGCGCACCAAAGTTCTTGCAAGTTCAAGAGGCATGCAAAACGTTGTGAAGGGCGGGTATCAAGTTAGCCGGAGGGCCCTTGTTTGCTCGGGGTGCTGCGGAGGCGGCATAACGTTGAGTTGCGTCCCGAAGAAGTGGGCGTCCCTTTAGTTCGAAACCGTATCATTAGGCGAGTGCAGCCAGGGGTTGTACAAGGAAGCGATGGTGGGCAGGCGAGCATACCACTTGGAGGAGAAAGACTTTGGAATGTTGGACGCAGCGGAGTCAGCGTCGCACTGCGAGGAAGGTGTCGCAGAATTTGGGTGGGGAAGAATGTCACGTTCTGATTCCTAATGACGTCATGAGCATAGAAGATACGCATGCTGGTTGGCTAAGAACATTCATTGACTGAGAAAGGTTCCAGGGAAGGGGCGTGCAAGACCATAAGATGGTACCTCTTCAGAGTTCAGGCAGATCGATTCGGTTCAGTTCAAGGTGCTTGTCGCTAGTCGTGGACTTGACTATGAAGAAGGGAGTTGGCCATCCCTGCACAAACTGGTCAGGAGCTGGAGCCGTTCCCCTGACGAGACCAAGGCAGGTCAAAACCAGTCAGCATGTATCCTTAGGAGGGCAGGTCGTGGTGGCTGAACAGGGCGCTTGCGCAAGCTGAAGCAACGTCTTGGTGCCGCCCGGGCCGTGCCGCTGCGCCAAATCTCTAGACCCGTGACACTTGGCTCGTCCCGAACAAATATGGAATTTTAAGATTCCCATATCTATCTTTGTAGCCAGGCATGCCTTGAGTGATAGCAACTCTAGCTATTATCACTGCTAGTATCACCCCTCTCACCGTAAGCCTCAGAAGCATTGCATGCAAGTCCATAGCTTCTCTGTTACATGTCTAGGATGATTGCAGAAACAATGAAACCTTTATGGTTTATTTGTGTATATATATTATATTACATAGAATCATTTTGCCGATTATAGAATTTCTTCCATTTAGGAATAAACTACCTCATTTTGTTTGTCTTGTCATTAAAAATGTATGGTTCTGTTCAAAATTATCGATTATTGTGTTTTATTTCATGTACGAAAACATTGTAACAATTGCAATGCTCTTAACACAGAAGCAGATCTCAACTTTTTTATGTGAATAGTTTCCAAAACATCACTAGGAACCACAAAATTTGCTTCGGTTTTAGTGGCTAATTTTCTATTGTTAGATTTGAACCTACCTTGAGTGTAGATGGTGTGTTCAGAACCAAAAAAGGGTATGAAAAATTTTGAACTTGGGCAGTTGTAAATTCATTTATGTACAAGGTAAAATCAATTGGTATATTTTCTTTATAACTGGTACAAATTTGTCCAGTAAGAAATCAACCTGTACACTTTTAATTCAAGACTCAAATTTTTCTCAGGCACAACTTTGCTACTTCAGGATTGGATGATTGAAACTATAAGACATTTTGATTTTGGGTTGGGGGAGATGAGGCTATATGTTACTTTTTCCACATGTCCAGATTTTGTTATGTTCCTCTGCAATTCCATTGTGGGTAGGACCGCAAACGAGCAAGTCTGCTTTTGACTGTTTAACCTTGAGTTCCACAACCAAATTGAGAATCAATTTTGATTTTGGTGTATGTTTTTTTTTTTAAGTACTGTAACAGTAAACAATGGAGTGTTTGGTAAAAATATTTTGTTTTCTACAGAGCCGAAACATTTCGTGAATAGTGATCAAAAATCAAAATACCAATTTGATAGTTTTAGAGCATCTCCAATGGGCTATCTAGAATTAGGGAATTAGGCTCTTCGAATTTGCCACATCAGCATTTTTCAATAGCCACGTCAGTATTTCCTATAGTCACGTCAGCGTTTTAGAGCCTCCAAATTTTAACTATTGTATGTAATCCAATGGTGCATTTTCGTTCTCTAAAAATATTAATATCTTAATATTTTTTTAAATTTTTAATAAATTTTATTTTTTAACTTTTTCTTAAGTGCTATATTTCTAATGGATATATTTATAACGACTATATTTTTCATCTTATATAAATAATTATTTGTTCATCTCATCATCATTATATTCATCTTTATCATTCTAGCAAAATATCAATTCACATCTTCTTCAATCTCAAAATTCCAATGGCTTCCTCATCACAATTTTTTTCTTTGTAAGACTCTAATTCATCATCCTCTTTATCAGATAACCCTATTGACGCGTTAATTCAACATAATCAAGACGCCTTTTGTTCGATTTTGAATTCAGTGAACCTAAAGATAGTAAAGCAAGTCTTTAAACCGCGTAAGAGGCGATACATTCATTATGATCGAGAGGGAAGCTACCATCGACTAATGAAAGACTACTTTGGCAAGAATTGCACATATCCACCAAAGTACTTTCACAGACGATTCAGGATGCGACGAGAACTATTTTTTCATATCCTGAATGATGTTAAAGCTTATGACGACTACTTCATCCAAAAAAGGGGTGCAATAGGTCATTTGGGGTTGTCTTCTATACAAAAGATGACATCTGCAATACGTATACTCGCATATGGTTGTATAGCCGGTCATTGTGATGAGTATATTAAAATTGGTGAGAGCACTGCCATTGAAACTCTGATGACAATTTTTTTTTTTTGATAAGTAACTCTGATGACATTTTGTAAGGCTATTATTGGTGTGTATGGGGAAGAGTATATGTGCCCACCCAACGAAGCCAACATAGCACGACTATTTCAAGAAGGGGAGGAGAGAAGATTCTCGGGTATGCTTGATTCTATCAACTGTATGCACTGAGAGTGGAAGAATTGTCCGGTGTCATGGCATAGCACGCACAAAGGACGCTCTCATACGCTTACACTCATATTGGAGGCGGTTGCCTCAAAAGATTTGTGGATCTTGCATGCATTTTTTGGAATGCCGGTCTCACACAATGATATTAATGTGCTGGATCATTCTCCGATATTCGACAGTATCGTTACTTGCCAAATTCCTCCAGTTAATTTCATTGTGAATGGCAATTACTATAGAATGGGGTATTACTAAGGGTGACAAATTACGACTACGAGTTAAAAGTGTTTGGATTTGGCATAAACAGGTTTGGGTCATAAAAGGGTCGACACGATTAACCCATTTACTTAAACGTGTCAGGTTAGGGTTAAGGAGTTCAACCCGTGTAACCCGTTTATGACCCATTTAACTCAACATGTTATAATCGTGAATATGACCTATGTAATATGTTACCTGTTTAAACCCAATTACTATGGATGTTAAGTCATTTTAACATAAACCTTGTCTATGCCTTATGATTTTTCTTTTTATTTTGAATATTTAGGTTAATTATAATAATTTTTACTATTATTTAGTATTTGATTAAATATTAAATATCTCGTTTTGATAAACAGGTCATTAAACGGGTTAACACGTTTACCCGTTTAATAAACAGGTTGGGTTAGTCTTGAGGATTCTTGACACGATTATTAAATGGATTGGGTTTGATTTTATCTATTTAGTATAATACCCTTACATCGACAGGACACGAACACGACCCACAAACACGAATTGTCACCCCTAGGTATTACCTATCTGATGGTATATACCTAAAGTGGACAATTTTAATGCAGACCATCCCGCACCCAACTACAACAAAAGAAAAACTTTTTGCTCAGAGACAAGACCTGTAAGAAAGATATGGAATGAGCTTTTGGGGTCTTGCAGATCAAGTGGGTAATAACGCAAGTATCAGTGTGGTTTTGGGATAAAGAGAACTTGTACCTTATAATGAAAACGTGCATCATCCTTCACAACATGATCATTGAAGATGAGCGTTATGCCAATGTTGGAAGATGGACTCTACCACCAGAAGAGACAATCTCGATTCCCACTTTAATTCAAAATCGATCAGTCTTAGCGGCACATATCTACTCTCGCCAAATCCAAATTCGCAATAAAGAGACAAATACGCAGTCGAGGAAAGATTTAATTGAATATTTGTGGAACCGCTTTGGTGAAGAAAGTGTTTAATTTATATTGTAGTGGGCGTATCTGGTGATAAATAGACACATTTAAATGATTGTGTCCAGTGATAAAGAGACACATATAAATGGTTGTGTCCAGTGATGAAGAGACACATATAAATGGTTGTGTCCAATAATGAAGAGACACACCCAATCCGAAAAGGTACTTCTATTTCTATAAATACCCCTTAGGCTGTCATTTGCAATTCGTTCATTTTTCCATTCTCTCTCCCTCTCTCAACATGAACCCAACCCAAGTGGGTGTGGGTTCAAGCCATATAGTCAAATGGTTCGAACAATTAGACCAAACATTTATAGCAATGAACCATATTGCAATTAGTCCAAGCCAAATGGTTCAGATCGAACCTAATTCATTCTTTATGTAGGAGAAATATATTTTTTTGTCAGAGAGAGTATTACACAGAGGAAGTTCGTCGTATCCACGAGTTTGTAATACTGCTATTGGTAGATGTAAACCGTTGTATCCTGGGAAACAAGCACCACAGAGTCCGTCAACATCATGTGGGGCGTAAATTGTCTTAAGGATATAGTATTCAACACTAACCTCAATTCAGGTTTTTTATTTATTATTATTATTCTATTGCTTTAATTTGTATATTTAATTAAATATTGAGTTAAATATTTAATTAATTATTTTTAGCATATTATTAATTATTCCATGGCATATTAGTATAAGGTTAATTATATCTTAAATGTCATTTGAAACATATATTTTCCAATACTTTTAACTTAAATTTATATATATATATATATATATATATATATATATATATATATATATAAAGATAAATTAATAAATAAGAAATATAAATAGAACTGAATTGGGTGGAACGGAGCGACCTTGGTCCGTTCTCGCTCGAGTTTTTACTAATAAAAATCATTCCACCAAATTAAATTAAACATACTTTGAAATTATTATAAATATAGCAGAACGAATACCCAGTTTGACAGACAAATTGTCATCCCTAATTCCCTGTACACGTTACAAAACATAATTGGTGTGGATGACACCCGTGACT